AGGTTTCATGTAATTTGACTACCTTCCAGTCGCCTTTTGGCACGCTTCGCTTGACGACTCTGCCTATGGGCTGGTCAAATTCAGTCCCGATTTTCCACGACAATGTCACGCACATTTTGGGACCTGAAATCCCGCAATTTACCATTCCCTACATCAATGACAGCCCAGTCCGTGGTCCTGCAACTCGTTATGAGCTCCCTGGTGGTGGTTACAAGATACATCCAGCCAATCCTGGCATTTGGCGTTTTGTCTGGGAGCATTTCCAGACGCTCAACCAAATAGTCCAGCAGATGAAATATTGCGGCGGTACCTTTTCTGGGCCAAAAGCCATCCTCTGCGCCGAGAAAATTACAGTCCTTGGACATGTTTGCACCTACAAGGGGCGTATTCCTGACAATTCACGCGTCGAGAAAATTGTCAATTGGGGACCGTGCCGCAATCTGTCCAAAGTACGTGCCTTTCTTGGTACGGTGGGCGTTGTGCGCATGTTCATCCGCAATTTTGCCCGCCGCGCAAGCCCACTCATTGCGTTGACTCGGAAGGATGCTCAGTTCGTCTTTGGGAGCGAGCAGATCAGCGCTCAAGAGGATCTCAAGGCAGCCTTGCTAGACTCACCGGCGCTGCGCCCACTTGATTATCACTCAGCAGCACCCGTCATTCTCTCCGTCGACACGTCCTATATTGCTGTCGGAGCTACGCTAGCTCAGTGCGATCCTCAGAACCTTGCTCGACAATTCTACGCACGCTTTGGTTCCATCACTTTGAACGAATGCGAATCAAGGTTTTCGCAGCCAAAATTGGAGTTGTACGGCTTGTTCCGTGCACTCAAAGCATGGAAGATCTATCTCATTGGTCTGCGCAATATTGTGGTAGAAGTCGACGCACAATTCATCAAGGGCATGTTGTCGAATCCGGATTTAGCACCAAATGCAACTATCAATTAATGGATTTTGGCTATTCTCACCTTCCACTTCACCCTGGTCCACGTCCCTGGCATTTCACACCGACCAGATGGTTTGTCCAGACGGCCCCCGCAGCCTGGGGATGTAGCAGAACAGGAGGATGATTTTGAAGACTGGATCGATCAGGTGCATGGTTTTGTGCACATGATAAATCACTCACCGCATATTCCTCAACGATCCCGTGCCCTGGTCACCACATTTGTCTCGGATTCATCGGTTGTCACTCCCCCTGAAAACGGAAACTTGTCCCTGTCCTATGACAATGTTCCCCGTACCTCTGCTGCCCGCCTGGCCGATTATCGAGTCGATTTAGCCCGAATTTGGCACGAGAAGCTCGAACGTCCACGGGACATGTCTGACAGCGATTATCAGTCGTTTGTCCGGTACTCCATGGAGTTTTTCTTGCGCGAGGGCGCACTCTGGCGAAAACACTCACATGGCCATCACAAGCTTGTTGTGCCCCCCTCACGTCGAGTTTTCATCCTGCAGTCAGCTCACGACGATGTTGGGCATAAAGGATTCTATGCGACTCGTTCGTTGGTCTCTGAGCGCTTCTGGTGGCCGCATATGGCCAAGGACATCCTGTGGTTCGTTCGTACCTGCAATTTGTGTCAGCAACGGCAAACTAGAAAAGTGTTGATACCTCTGACGGTCTCGACACTGGCACCAATCTTTGCAAAGATGTATATGGACACCATGCATCTCCCGACCAGTGGCGGCTTCCGATATATTGTTCAAGGACGCTGTTCGTTGACCCACTATCCCGAATGGCGTATGCTTTGCCGCGAAACTGCTCAAACTCTAGCCGCATGGATTTTTGAAGATATCCTGTGCTGTTGGGGCACCCTGGTGGAAATTGTCACAGATAATGGCACCCCATTTGTGAGAGCATTGACGCACCTTGAAAAACAGTACCACATCCGACATATCCGCATTTCTGGCTACAACTCCCATGCCAACTTGTCCGAGCAGCCGCATTTTGATGTGCAAGAGTCCCTGTTCAAAGCAGCTGACGGCGTCCAATCAAAATGGCATACAACAGCACATTCCGTCTTCTGGGCAGACAGAGTCACGCTTCGACGACACATTGGCTGCTCACCTTTCTTTGCGGTCACCGGAGCCCACCTGCTACTTCCACTTGACATATCCGAAGCCACCTACCTCCTTCCCGCCCCAGAATCCGTGCTATCAACCACGGAACTCATCTCTCGTCATGCAATTGCGCTGCAGAAGCGACGAGAACACCTGTCGTTCCTTCATTCCGCTGTCCTCGAAGCCCGCGTCCAGGAAGCGATCCGTTTCGAGCGAGAACACGCACATACAATACGCAATTACGACTTCCAGAGGGGCGATCTGGTCCTGATGCGGAACACTGCAATTGAGAAGTTGTTGAGCCGCAAAATGCGCAAGCAATATCTGGGACCGCTGATTGTCATCTCAAGGAATAGAGGGGGCACTTACATTCTCTCTGAGCTTGACGGCTCTGTCTTCCACCGCCCTATTGCCGCATTTCGAGTCATCCCATACTTTGCACGACTCAAGATCCCAATCCCACCTCTCAAAGACTTGCTGGACATCTCAACAGAACGGTTACGCGAGCTCGAGGAGTCGATCTTGGCTGATCCAGAAGACGAGGAAAGCAATTCTGAGCTGCCAGGCAAAAGTGAAGACCGACTCTGATCCCCCCATGCACCCGCTACACCCTCAATCCATCCATAGAATCGCCCTTTTCAAATTTGTCCTGTTGAGGCTCTCGTGCGCCGGAAGCTGACTGAGGACAGTCAGATTTTCAGTTGGAGGGAGATGACAAGCGTTGACACGCCCTGGCTTCGTAAGTGATCAGTGTGGCACTGCTGCATTAAGGTGCACAGCATTTGGTGGCGGATTTATCTCTCGGCTTGCTGGCCACACGGCTGCACGCTGCCCAGAGTATTTGCTAGTTCTTTCTATATTTCAGATTGGCATCATTGGGGAATTATTTTACCAAACAGACACATCCATATGGGACCAATAAGGTGAAACATGTATTTTATAGACTTACATGTGGAACAGGCACTTTTGGGATGCTTGGAGCGCTTCTTACCGGGTAGTTAGGTGTTTTTCACGGACCCAATATGTTCTTTATCAATTCAAGACTTTACTATAAGTAGCTACGGTATATTCCTTCAAAAACAAGTTCTCTTCACCCCAAAAACCAAGTGCTCTATTTCAGCATCTAAAAATTCAGCCTCTCTTCGCCGTCTATATTGTCTCCATTGCCTCCATTGTCTCCGTCACCTGCACCGTCTCCGTCGCCTCTGTTGCCCTCGCCGTTGCCCGCCGCCTTTTTATACCATATTCCCGAGTCCTGATCCTTGTTAGGACACACTCGCAAAACAACAACCCTTGCGGCTGTCTGTTGAGCAGCACTGTTGATTATATTCACACCCCACCTCTCCGGTTGATTTTTGTGCTCACACCCACTGCAGGCATGTCATCATCTATGATATCATTACTCCACTATGACATCATGATATCTGCTCCAGACTGGTATATAAACCTAGTACTATACGCTCCATATCCTCAGCTCCTGTGTCTTACACTTGCTGAGGTATGCATTCTCCCTTACGATCTAATGACCTTACTTATGACTTGTACCACAGACTCTGTGTCTTTAGGTACAGCTAATGTATAGCTCCTGTGTCTTACACTCGCTGAGACTCTGTGTCTTTAGGTGATTGCTGCTGGTTGTATCTCCACTGCACGATATTGTCTGCGACAGATGTTGTCTTGATCACCCTTCTTGTATTTGCCCTTGTCATTGGTGGCAGTGACCATATTATATCCTGCATCTGTAGCCAGCATTTCAAAATCAGAGATATAGTCTGCAAAAGACTGTTTGTTTTGGTGCAGGGCCATGAGCTGGGTGGCAGTGACTTGCTCCACATTGGAGTCTCCAAAAGCCCTGAAGCTCTTCTAAGAAACTCTTTGCTGTGACCTTCAGCCTTGGGAAGCCCTCAAAGTTGTGCTGCTTCCAGTTCATTGCCCATCTTGAAGTGGTGCAAGTTGTGTCAGCCTTGTTATGGAGGTAGGAAAGGACAAAGAGGATCTTGGTTGCATCCTCCAAGAAGTCCAACTAATAGACACCAATGTAGGTGGTGCATGAGTCTACAAAGCCTAGGTATTTGGACTTGTTGCCATTGAAGTAGGGGGGGGGGGGGGGGGGGGGGGGTTGGCAGGAAGGGTGATGCAGTGTCCGGTCATGGTACAAGCAGGTGTAGTAGGTAGAGTGGGCTCTGGGAAAGACCTGCATTTGTAGGAGAGTTCCTCCAGGTCTGGAATCTTAGGAGGCGGAAGCGCAAGGTAAGGGGTAGAGGGACCAGATAGGTTTTGATATGCTAGATTGGACAATGAGGGCACAATAGGGGGAGGAGAGGGACTCCTAGACAAAGATGGGAATTGGTACAAAATGGTGAATTCATGTGCTGTACAAGCACTCAAGAAAAGGTTCTCTTGCTAGCAAAAAGATCCTGGGCCTTCTCTTCATAGGTCCAATGATCCTGAGGTGTGTGTTCCCAAAGGTCCCCATAGCACTCCTTGTAGCTACTGAAAAGCTTGGGTTGGGCTCAACATTACCCATGGCCTGGTGCTGTTTACTCAATATGAACCATTTACTGCAATCACAGAAAACGACTAGATGATTTGGTAAAAGAGTGAGTGAATTGATATGGATAAAGAAGATATACAGTCGAACCCCTCTTAACCCATACCTCTTGGTAGAAGGCCTAGAGTATGGGTTTTGAGGGTCTGTGGGTTTAGAGGAAAATTGAATTAAATTGGGAGAAATAATAAGAATCTGGTAGTGTAGCGTAAGATACAGATATTGAAGTGCATTTTACTCTACTGGAGCAAAGAATTGAGTAATAGATGTATTTGGCATGGCATTAGTCTCCTTAAGCCGCATATGACAACCAAAGTTACCAAGAAGTGCATCAAGCTTGTGTGTGTAGTCACAGCTATCTTGGATGGCCAAAAAATCCCGGACCACAATTGCAGCATTCAGTGCATCACTAGGTGCTGGACAGCAGCCTTATGCACGGCGCTGAGTTGTGAGAGTCCTTGCTCATAGTCGGATGCCTTCTCAAGGAGCTCAAGTGCCTGCTGCTCATCAACCAGATTGGCAGGACCATCAAGCCAGTTGCTGTCGGCCTTGTTAATGCGCTCCTTGCGCTGGAGATGGTCCTCGAGGATTTCCTTGCACTTAGTGATGTGCTTTTGGAGGGCGCTGAGGCCCTTCTTGAGGAGGTTGAGTCGATTGGGTGCCATGGAGGGCGTGGTCGCTTGTATTTTCAGTAGATTTTTGTGATTGGGCAATCATGGTATTTCTATTTTGGGCAAAATGTATGGGTTTTGGACCCCGGAAATGGTCATCGGTTATGGGTTTCGGAGAGTCTATGGGTTTTCCCCGCCCACCAAGTTGGTTACATGAAAAATGTATGGGTTACAAGAGGTTATGGGTTAGGAGGGGTTTGACTGTAGCAGCAAGGGATGCAGTGAGTAAGAGGTATGAGGTGTAACAGGAACATTGTCATCTGACATACATGCTTACTCACACTGTCTGTGGACAGTTATTTGTATTTAGAAGATGATTGTAGTATAAGTAGTTAGGGTGTACAGGTGGTGCACTAGTCAATTTTCATAGCTGATCCCTGTCTTTGCTGGATTGACTGCCCACCTCTTGTGTGTTGAAACCCATACAAGATGCTTCCACCACATGAGGGGAGTCTTGGAATTATGTGACGACCAACAAAGAATTTAGCTGGACCCAATCCCAATGGGTCTTGGAACTACAGAGGCTTGATTGCCAAATAACTGGGTGGACACTCAGGAGACGTAAGTCTCTAGCGAGTGTTTCTTCTTTCTCTGTCTTCATATTCTCTGATATCTACAGCTTATTTCCAGTAGGGGATTGACCTTGCTTGAATCTCACAATATGGATACTGTGACAATCAACAAAGAATAAAGTCAAAAAGAGAAGTCAATTCCAAGACTGGAGAATACAACACAATAGCTACAGTATCTATACCAAGTCCAGTCTGAGTCATATCTACATCAATTGAGGTTAAATTGATTAGGAGGTCAGCTCAATTGATGTAGATATGACTCAGACTGGACTTGGTATAGATACTGTAGCTATTGTGTTGTATTCTCCAGTCTTGGAATTGACTTCTCTTTTTGACTTTATTCTTTGTTGATTGTCACAGTATCCATATTGTGAGATTCAAGCAAGGTCAATCCCCTACTGGAAATAAGCTGTAGATATCAGAGAATATGAAGACAGAGAAAGAAGAAACACTCGCTAGAGACTTGTGTCTTCTGAGTGTTCACCCAGTTATTTGGCAATCAAGCCTCTGTAGTTCCAAGACCCATTGGGATTGGGTCCAGCTAAAGGAGTTGTTTGATGAGACTAGAGTGTAGAGAAAGCAAAAGAGCAGCAGAGAAGAGCCAGAGAGAGACAAGACAAGCAGAAGCAGAAAAAGCAGAGAGCCAGAGAGAGAGAGCAGAGAGCACTAAAAGAAAGAGCAGAGAATTTAAGTCAGAAAATTGTATAAGGTGGCAAGACATGTGACACACCTGGCTTCTTGGGCTCATGGTGATGATATTAATGATGAACTGATGAACAGTTGATCAGTTAAGCAACTGCATGGTTAATAACATCACTCATATAACCAAGACAGATGACTAGACACAACTATGCAGTCAGGTGACAAGTAGATAAGACAAGTGAAGCAGATAAACAGTAGGTCAGCTGACCAGAGAAGGCTGTAGTGGTTATAAGCAAGAACAAACTAATAAACAGTTGATCAGTCAATGAACTGGTTATGGGATAGCTTCACTTATATAACTTGGTCAGATGACTTGATAGAACTGTGCAGTCAGGTGAACAGATAAGAAGCAGGTAAGCTGACAAGATGAGGCTGTGAAGGGGTGGGAAAGTGGATGCAACTGTGAGGGTCACAAGCAAGGAGGAAATCAGACAATTTTGATGAGGCTAGTTTTATATATAGTTGAGAGGTGGCTGTGTCGAGTCACAAGATTAGGCAAATGTGATTCAGATGCCTTGAAATTCTCTGTTCAAGACCTTTCACCCCAATATCAATGTCCTCCCTTCCCATAGGAGCCAACTCTGCATTCACCAGTAGGTCGAGCAACCTGGCAAGCTGATGACACACCTCTGAACTAGAATCTATTCATGCTCTGAGGCTCTCGTCTGCAAGGAGGACCACGATCCCCACTCTCGCATTGTTCTTCTCTGTCCTGTTGTGCTCGCCTGCGCGCAATGTGGTCAGAGGCAATCTAACAGTGCAGTGTCTGTGTCTTTCGTGCCACGACCGCTCACATTGAAGCCTTGGCCTGAACTTCCTCTGTATCACTCTCCGTTTACTTCTCGTCCAGCACCAAAACAGAGCAGATAAGGTTGACGAAGCTACAACAAAGCAAACGAAAGATACATGTAGATAAAGCAATCATAAGATAAGCGCAGATGTCCAATCTCACGCCTGAGAAGACGGCATATCCGGGATAAGGTAGTGCACCGGCCGGCCGTCGACGGGCCTCCCATCCTGTCCGAAGCTCGATTTATGCTCCAGCACCGGCCAGTCGTGGTGGAGGTGGGGAGATGTACCACTGGCCGCGCGCACGCTGCCTTCGCGGCTGCTACTGCTGCTGCTCGGTGCGGAGGGCACGGACGCAAGCGACGGGTCGGCGGGGTTGTACTGCGGCACGGGCTTGCGCGCCATGCGCTTCGAGCCAGAGAGCGAGTCGCCGATGGAGTTGCGCTGGTGCGCCTGGGACGAGGGCGTGGGACTCGACGGGCCGGGGCTCTCGTTCGTCGGCGAGGACGCCGATCCGTAGGGCGAGCCGGGGTGCGAGCGGGGGCGGCTGAAGTTCATGTGCAGGTGCGAGGCGGTGGACGTGGACGAGCTGCGGCCGAGGCCTCCTGCTCCGCCCTCGGGGGGCGTGCCTATATACTCGAGCGGAACCGCATTTCGCTCAAGCTCGCCCAGCGCGTAATGCCCCGAATCGGAGAAGGGCGATCGGACGGGCGAGCTGCTGATCTTCTCCTGCGAAGGCGAGAAGTACGACCCCGAGTCGAGTTCCCCGTCTCCGCCGCTGTACGCGTGCGACTGCGATGGCCGAGAGCTGGTCAGAATGGGCCCGATCGAGTCCGATTGCGAGTGGTGGTGCCCCGCAACAATGCCGATCCCGCTGCTTGACGGATACGCCTTGGCGTCTCCGGCCCAGCGGCGGGGGCTGCGCTTTCTCGACGATCCGGAACTGGTGGTGCCATCTGAGGGTTTGCCCTTGGCGGCGTACCGGAAGTAGAAGAAGACGGCTATTACCGCGGCGACGACAGCCAAGCTCCCAACGACGGCCCCGGCAATGGCACCCCGGTTGACGCCCCTGCCACCACCGGTCGATGCAGCCACTTGCGACGGCGGCAGGGTAGAGGATGATGCTGATGCTGATGTTGATGAGGAAGTAGACGATGCGGCGGTCGAAGAGCTCGTGGAGCATTGCGTGGTCGCCCCGTTCTGGATAACGAACGGAACCGAGTTAGATGTAGTTCCCGAGTTCGCGAACGTCGCGACGAGCATGTACCACCCCGCAGAGACAGTGACCAGAGGCCACGTAAAGTTCTGCGACGCCACGTCGATCGGGGAAGCAGTCATATTCTGCGTCACGAACCCCAGATCGCGTTTATGCCGCGGAACCAGCGGGCTCTGCGGCAGAGAGGAGGCCGCTGTCGACACAGGGTTGAAAGGGACAGTGCTAGTCGCAGTGATCGAGGTGGTGAGCTGCGAGACACCGTAGTTGGTGATTTGGAGCGTTATCTGCTGCAGCGTCGCACTGCTCCCAGCCCAATCCCAGCTCACAAAGGCTGGCTGACACGTCGTCATCTCCGCGATGGAGTTAAAAACGAAGGGCGGGCCTAGTATCGCCCCTGTGGGAAGATGTGTGAGCAAGAAGGATGCGAGGGCCCGAAGTAGGCAGAGTAAGCTCGCCGACGTACGAGTGGGCGGAGCATCGGACGCATGAGCCGCGCCGAGAAGTAAGCACGCCATCCAAAAGGAACGAGTGAAGAAGGGCTGGGTGCGCGCGGCCATCTTCATCCGAGTAGGGGAAGCCGGTACGGGAGATAAAAAGGACGGCTGTGTATCGTCAGAGGCGGCCCGGTTTCCTGGGCGGGCGAGACCGATAGGGAAGAAGGGGGGAGGAGGGAGGGAGGAAGAGACGGCTGGCGGTCGGCGGCTACCCGTGGTCGTCGCTGAGTACTAAGTCCTGACCAAAATAACAGAGAGACAGCTGACACATCGTTGATCTTGCCGAGCCGGCTTTCACATTCGATCCGCCAGGGGCCGATGCTTTCCCGGAGCTTGTCGGCTACACGCGTGCTTGTGTGTGTGGTGTGTCCTCCCGTTTACGACCGATGCACCCCGAAGCTGACCGCTCCTCCACTGCTCACCCCACCTGCGCAAAGAAATTCTTCGAGACTTGTGAGGGTCTGACATGATTCATGAATTATATAATTCGGTTGTTGTCAGTGTCCTTGGCCCTTCGCTCTCAATTTCAGTCTGCAATGCAAGGTGCCTGATCTCGGCATGCACAGCAGAATGCCAGCCAGATCATACTCATGTTCATGTGTTCTCGCCGTGGCCCAAAGAACAGACGCGGCCTCAGTCCCCCGGACTATCACGCGCCAAAGTTCTCTCGGGTCTGATATTTCCCGCCGTCTACCGTGGTTCTCACTCAATTATTGTCTTCGCCTACAGACCGGTGATTTATCGCTGTCGATCCGCGTGCTTTCCCTGAGTGCAGTGCGTTCCGTCCTTCTATGCGCGTGCAATCTCCACGAATGGTGATCGTCAAGACGACTCTCCATCAGGTTCTGGCAAGTTCTAGCAATTTTCCATTCTAGGACAATCGTGCGTGCTTCTACGTCGCCATGTTGGTTCAAGTCAGTGGCGGCTCTTTCTCGTGCAACGCACGCCGCCGCACGACGCTTGCTTTAATAATACGGAGCCGAATATGAATCGGTACGTAGGGTGGCAGAACGGCACTCTGGCCTCGTGGTGAAGAGCAATGATAGGCGAGGACGGAAAACAAGGCGGGACCCACACACGCGCCAGTGGCCTGTATAATGCTCCTCCGTTCGGTGACAGCGGACACATAATTCGTCGGCCTTCCTCTCGCACCTACACGCATCCGCCCTTCCCCCCTTCCGCGCGCTCTCCTCTCTCTCCCTTGAGCCGTTATATCGACAACATTCCGACTGCCGCAAGCCCGAGCCCTCGTCAACGATTATCTCCGCCATCAATATCGCCTGCCCACCGACTGAGACCCGCGACCAAATTCAATCTATGCTAGGATCGTGCACGAACACCTGACAATCTTTTTTCCACAGAACGCATGTTCCGGGTTGGGGCAGCCACCCAGATCACTGCACTGTCTGCGGCAACATACTGTCTGTCTCACAAGAGCTCAAGACGTTGCACAAGATTGTTGGCTGGCCGGCGGACCGGACTCCGGATTGGAATCTTCATAGATCCAAACTCCCCGAAGAACGCATATGCTGATTGATCACGAGTACGGTGCGGGGGCCTCTTGTGGCGTGTGCCTTGGCATTAGTGCGCTTCACGCGCAGACTGGCCCGGATACTCGACACAGTCAGTTCGACCAGTCTCGGATTGCAGCTTGCCACGCCGATTATGCGGAGTACTGGTGTCCGGGACGCGGGCGGTGGTTACAGTACCTTCCATAGCTTATTCGATTGCTGCTTTGATTTACTGCGAGTCCAGAGGTTATTTTCCGGGGAAAGCATGTATTCTCTTTTCTCGTGTTTCCCGGCTACGGCGAGGAAAGCAAATCGGATCATGGGCCGCTCTGCCTGGGCAGCTGCGGGCTGTGTACATCATAATGTCCTCGTGTTCATCTTCCTTTCTCAGTCGTTTTGTCCCTCACACTGCACATAAGAAATCTTCCCGTGGGTGCAGGATAACCTCCAAGTCTCACTTGTCTCACTTTTAGAGTCTACTGCCGCATTTCATCCCTACCTCCGCAAGACACTTGACATCCCAACGATGAAGCCAACATTTCTGGTTCAAATTTGAACCTGCTTTAACGAGTCACATTCACCCCTTCCGGATTAAAATCACATATCTTTGCTCAGCTTTTTCCACGTTTTCGGCCCATGTAAAGGGACACGAAAACGCCACACTCCAAAATCAATACTAGTTGTTTGCCCATTTGTTGATCTCTGCAAGTTCACGACCAAGGATTCTTTGGTAAGCAGAGAAACGACGCCGGCTCCCTCAACTATCGCCTTCCAATCTTAGTCAAGAAAAGATGTGTGAAGATCGTTTGCGTTGGATTTCAAGTTGTGGTACAGATTGGCTTTATCCTACAAGTCCCTTCAAAGATACACCAGGGCTAACTCCTTCAGTAGTTGTTGTTGTTGTTGTCGAACTCGCCGAGCTGCGAAGAAGAGAAGACATCAGGATCCGAATTGAGCGAATGCAGATTGCGAATCGAACCTTGCGCTCCTGGCCGCGCTCCTGCATGCCAGCGTTGCCAGTGACCTTGCCCGCGAGCTTTTCGGCCGTGCCTGTCGAGGTGTTAATGTCGCCGACAAACTAATCGGCTACTAAAGACTCACCCTTGACCTTGTCGCCCATGGTGGGCTTGTTCAAGCCGGAGGTGGTGTTGTTGTTGTCCCACTGGGAGCCGGTGGTGTTCGACGTCGTGTCGTACTGGTTGTTTCCACCGAGACCGCTGGTGTTTCCACCGAGACCGCTGTTGTTTCCGCCTAAGCCACTACGAGTGTTTCCGCCGAGACCACTCGTGGTGTTCTGGTTGCGATCCAGGTCGTCCATGCGGCGGGTGTCGGAGCCGAGGTCGGACGAGGTGTTGTCGAAGCGCGACTGCTGCTGGCGGTCCATGTCCGACGTAAGGCCACCGCCCGTGCGGCGGTTGCTCGAGTCGAGGTCCGAGTCCATGAGACCACCCTGGCCGCGGTTCACTGGGACGCACAGAGAGAAAAGTCAGCGCGAACAGAGGGAGGCGGAGATACGAGCGCGTACTGCCGGTGGTGTTTTGGGAGTCCATGTTGTCCTCGCCACGGCGCGTTGTGCCGGTGCCGAGCTGACCGCTGTTGGAGGTGGCGTCGTAAGAGTCCATGATAATGAGATGAGTTGGTTGGTTGTGAGTGAGTTAGATGAGATGAGATGAGATTGGTGAGGTACATTTGCTCTGCACCCAGGTATATATACGGTGCACCCACCGCCTGATGTCATAAACGCAGGGTGTGCGGAAATGGAGTGGACCGTCACGCGACTCCATTCGAACAAGAGCCAGAACGTAGGAGCTATCTCATCCATGACGCGCGGCTACAGGGAAAGGAAATACCTGATTGGAGCGCGCGGGAAGTACTCGGAGAAGCCGCGATCCCTGCATGTCACGTGGCCGCTCCCGCTCACGCTTTCCCTTTTCCCCAGCTCGGCCCCCGGGGCGGACGCGTGTGCTAGCGTCTTTGGCGCATTGTCCTGCAGGGTCTGTCCAGCTTCTCAGTGCAGCGGTGAAAGCTTGGGTAGTCATGGACTCGCCTTACCACGCCAAGGGGAGTCGCCTGTCAGGAGTGCGGAGTTTGATCTCCCAATCCGATTTGGAAACTATGTGGTTGTTATCTTTCGTGATCTACTTCAGTGGTTTCCTGCCACTCTGGTCAGCACAACGCCTTGTGAATGGTTTCCTCCGAAAAAGATCCTTATGAATTTTGTGCATGGCCTATAAACGGGGACTTTCTACTTGGTAATCCGGCTTGTTACGCTCGCAGAACCCATGCTTGAAAAATTCATCAGACGTAGTCAAGTCGAACTTAAAATTTCATCGAATTTTCAATCGAATCGTGGAGCTAAGGAAATGAATGACTGACTCTCAGAAAGCTATGTCTTCGCTCATATCTGCTACACAGGTCAATTTCAACGACACCGCGCTGACGTCAGCTTCGAAAGTAGGTTTTCATTTTGGTTTACTCCCGGGCCGGGTGCGCCGAAATGGGTGATGGGAGACTCTCCTTGGCGCTGGTGACGATCTCCAAGCCTTTCTTCCATAGCTAGCTTGGGAGTTTGGGAAGCAACAAGTTCTGCTTGTGAGCGAGGCAGGCAGTAGGGGATGGGGGCTCTCTCGCTGTTGAAAAGCTGTTTCCCTGTCAGGATGTTCTGTGATGCGGGCACAAGGCGGGAAATGAAGTGACGCGTCGCTTCCGCTACGCGCCTTCACTCTTGTCTCTTCATTACACAACCGACGACTGCAGCCGATCGCTCTGCCGTTGACCCAGCGTCTGACTCTGTCCTCCGGCCTCGCAGCCCCGATCTGACCAAGCCCACCGGCATCACCACCGGACACCCATGTCCGCGAAGCGCATTTGCTATTGTTTCGAGCGATGGCCGTGAACACTGTTGTGCATCTTCCCGCAGTGTGTATTGTGTCGACAGTACAGTACAGTACAATACAGGAACAACGATCCAGGGGCCCAGGCGTCTGACAAACGGAAGGAGATCGCTGTGACCCTTGTTGCCTGGTAGCGTAGCCTGTGCCCGCCGCCTATTTTTGTCGACGTCAGCGACCGCTTCTTCCTCCCAACCCCCACCGGCTGATCTGTTCCGACACAGCACACTCTCCACAAACCACTAACGATCAAGTACACGTACCGCACCAGTTCACTACTCGACACCACATCACCACCACACACCGCCCCACCGCCCCACCTCACCCATGGCGCTGACACCGGAACCCATCCCCCCACTTACCACAGCGGGCCTCCTCTCGACGCACGCCGCTTCTCCGGACCCCGCGCTGGCAGCGCTGCATCAGGCGGTCTCGGAGCGCACGGGCCTGAGCACGAAGAACGACCAGCTGTGGAAGCTCATCGAGAAACAGCGTGCGGGGTACAATAACCTCGTCAAGGAGCTCGAGCGCCTGCGCGGCGAGCGCGATGCGTATAAGGCGCAACTCAACGCGGTTGCCGTGCGGCGCGCGCTGGACGACGGACCGGAGCCGGAGCCGGGACGCGAGGGGGTGCCGCAGCTGGACGAGGGTCCGGGTGCAGGTGGGATTGCGGGCGGAAGTGATTGCATCGGAACGACGCGCGGCGAGGAGGACGGTCGTGTGAGGAGCCCGGGCCCGGCATCCACGAACGCCACGGGTGAGGAGCAGACCCCAACGACACCCCGACCCCGCCGGTCCTGATAATCTCCGCCGGACTGGATCCGACGTCTATTCTACCACCGCATCTCTACTGCTCACTACAGCGAGAGCAGCCCTATGCTCCCCATGGACTTGGCATCCATGTAATCCTGATCTAATACCCTACAAGCACTTGTACTATGTATGTATCCCCCCACGTACCCATTTTAGAGACGATCGACGCAATCCAAGGCAGCTCATATTACGCGTTACAGTATTCGTGAATAGCGGAGTCCATTTGCACAGCAAGATAGGTATCGTATCGTATACAGAGTTCCAAGTCTAAGTACGCGCGGACGCTCACTTACAGCGGCCGCGGGTTTATCCGGATGTCGCCCAGCGACGGTGTTTTCGGCGTGTGGTGGTGATTCGCCGACCGAGGCGTCCTCAGTGACGTCCGCTCAGTCGAGTTCCACCCCTCGTCGTCTTCCTCCTCCCGCAAATCCTGCAGTCCGACGTGGTCAGCACCGCCCGCCGGATCGTAAGCATTGAACAGCGTCGCAGCGGGGTTGCGGTACAGCGAGCTGCGCCGCGCGTGGCCCAGTCCGCGGGGGGACGGCAAGCCCATACCGTTGTGCCCGTCACGCTGGATGCCGTGCCATCCGTCGAGCGAGAGCCGCCCTTCGAACCCCGCCGCGTCCTCACGTCCCTCTTCCACGGCCTGCGCGGACTCCTCCAGCATCGACAGATTGAGGATGTGCACGCCGAGGAAGGTGACGATAAATCCGCAGAGCAACGAGAACGTATTGCTGGCATCTGTCGTGTTGAACCCTTCAAACAGAATCAACGAAGCAACGATCGTAGCGCTGCAGAAGCCGACGTAGTACATCGGATTGACACTGGAAAAGCGGTGTCGTTAGTTGACCAGATAATTGATTGGATGTGCAATCACACACGCACATGTTGACCGAGAAGAGATCCAACGCCTTGTTGTAGTAGTTGAGCTGGATAACGATGCACCCGACCGAAATCAGTCCGAAGACAAACGTGCTGGGGTACACGAATTGGTTCTTGCCCGCGAAGGTCAGCTTGACCGCGACACCAAAGCCCTTGATGAACATGACCGACACCGACCCGACGATCGACGCGATCGAGATGTAAACCGTGGGGTTGGTGCGTCCGTGCTTCGGTGCAACGGCATACGCGAGGAAGATGGCGAGTGCACAGACGGTGAAGCAGTACATCAGGAAGCCTGCGCGCGTGCGGCAAATGTCAGTGTTCGTCACCACAAAAAGCGCAACGTCCCAACGCACCAGGCTTCATAGCGTAATTCAAAAAGTCGGTGATAGTCTCGATTGGCCTGTCATCTGGCGCGTGTAGCACAATAATAACCGAGCCAAGCAGGCACAATGCGCATCCTACTCGGCCCAAATGGCCCAGCTGCTCGTTCAGCAGGAAAGAGGCGAGGATAGCGCTATGCGTGTCTCGTCAGCGGAAGAGAGTACGAGTGGAGCGGGCGAGCGCACCCTATAAGCACACTGAGGGCACCGAGCGGAGTTACGAGCACCGGCGGCGCAAACGAGTACGCCGCAAAGTTGGCCACTGGATTCTTCAGCAAGGCTAGCTTGAGCCGCAGAAACACACTGCACCTTCGCCAATGATAACTAGAGCAGCACACACAACGTGTGTCAGTCCGCAGCCATGAGAGCTATGAATAGCACACGCACGAGTTGACATTCCCGCCCACCATATAGGATTCCGCAGGTACGAGAACTCCGAGCCCGACCCGGCATTCGCTGCCGCCGTGAGGCCCTGCACCAGGTGAGGTGAGCGAGCGGTATTGATCGGGATATGGATAGTGCGCGTGCGATCGTGGCATCCACACCGACCTTTTTCGTGATGACGATGCTGGTGCCGATAGCGGCGGAGCTGGAAACCGCCAGAGCGAGTCCGATGTATTTGTCTTCCACCATTGAGAGAGTGTGTGCGGCCGGTCTGTTGGCGCAAAAGGATGGAGGCGGGAGGAGAAAGGAAGTGTGATGGCGCAGCACTGCCACACGTTAATCCGGCCCTGCTGCACTGTCAATATGCAGGTAAATCCGGGACCCTTTCCCGTCACATTTGGGGGTGGTCTAGTTTTAATATATACATACTATGTACATGGTATGGCATGGCTACGTTACATCAATACCCAGTCCCGCTATCTCCGAGTGATTCCATCTGAAGACTGGAAAAGGATGTGCCTCCGTATTAAGGACCCATCTGTCAAAGGGAAGCAAGTCCTCCGAGCTAAACAGCAGAAAGAGATATTTGAGACTGGAAAAGAGATCAGCAGAAGATAGGAGCACAGATAACACGAACGTCTCGGCCAGAAACCAGCTGCGCCTAGTCAGCACATGCCGTCAAACGGAAAACCAAGCCGCATACCTGGGCATGTCGTCGAATTGGAAAGGAATCTCGTCCAAATGCCGAACGGTCGTGAAGCCGTGCTTGACACGGGTGTACTTTTGCAGAGACTGGAAGACGGACCTGTAGCTCGATTACCATACCGATCGAGTCTGGTCGAGAAAGAAACACGCACCAGCCACGCTCTCGCCATTTCACCTCGCCCGTTGTCCGCCACATGACATAGAAAGTCTCAACGGCCTGTAGTTGGCCTGTTAGCGAGCGCCTTCAATCCACCGACCGAAATCACCTCTGGACGAAGCAGATACACATCCTCGGTCGCCACATAGCCCCGATTTCCTGACTCACGCTGCAGTTCGACGCCCTTGGTCCCAGGAGCCGGCCCGACTCTTCCCTCTCGATCCCATTCTCGCAGCAAGACAGTCCACCGTTCGTTCTCCGCATCCATCCTGAACGAATCCGGACTTAGTCCAGAGGTAGTATCGCCGTATACCGCCCAGCAAGTCTCGGCCAGACCTTCCGCGGCCCATAGATGTCGCTCTAGTTGCGTGTCTGACAGATTGAGCCCAGAGCTCGGGTGCGCAGCCAGCGCAAACAGCCCTGGCAAGAAACAGGACAGGTGCTGGAATCGGTTCGTCGGCTTGCCCCGGCGCAGGTCCGTAACGTACAGCAGTTGCCGTTTAGACCCAACATAGAGCAGATGCTCCATGATCGCATTCGCGCTGCGGATGTCCGCAGGGAAGTCAGTTTGGAAGAGATGCTTGACGCAGATACGAACAGAGTTCTCGGGTCCTGAGCTCGGTCTTTCCTGACATGAGCCACTGCTTTAAGAAGTACTCGTATGCGGAATCAGCGCATCCTCCGGCGGTAAAGTCGGCTGAGGATCGGGTCAGCGCCAGCCCTCACCTGGGCTATCACGATACACGCACAAAGATTGGGCTCTGCGGTGTTCACCTTCCATGTCGTTGCGAGGAGGCCGTCGAAGAGTGTCTTCTCTGGCGGATAAATGACTCGCATGGGTCGCTCGGCCTGGCGCGAAAGTCAGAATAGCCCGATCGTCATTGGTATCCAACCAAGCATACGCACCACCTCGAAGTACTTGGCCTTTCCAGTAAGATGCGCGAGGTATTTGCTGCAAAAGTCGTCAAAATATAGTTTTGGTCCCGTAAGTCACCCACTATTCCATCTGGTTGCTGAATAGCTCCGCCAGACATGATTCTGGAAACGGCCCTTCGCCACCTTTAGCTCGACCTCTGTAACCGTATCAGAAGAGAGAGAGAGAGCCAGGCGTTCCGCTTTCAACTAACAGCTCGGTATCAACCCCATGCACGGAAAAACCCGTCGGAGTGTCGAAGGCAGGGAGCAGTTGCGTGCCCAGATCGTCCGCAAGTTTGAGCAGTCTCGGGTCCTCCGACAGTGCATAAGCAGACAGAGCGCCGCCGAGGTACCGAATGACGACTTCGAAGAAATGGGCACGCGGGGTCTGCGAGGTAAGCCCTGTGATTAGCGGTCACGATGCAACAGGCAAACGAGACCGGCTCACGCGCCACTGTTGGTCCTGCACCCCCCGCACCGTGTCAAAGAACATGTCCTCCAGCCCCATAAGCCACATCGTGTCGAGCGAGTCGAACATCGTCACGCCCCATCCATGGAAGCTGCGTCGGCCTGAATTTGGGAACATCACACGCCCACGGCCACGCACTTGTTGATCGACCCGCCGGACATCGGCCGCACCTCGTCTGCGGGCAGAGCATATGCCCTATATCCCTCATACGCGTGCACGAAAGCTTCCCGGACCTCGTGGGCCCGCGCACCCCACACGTCGCCCGCGTCCACAACGGGTATCGGGGGCGGGCGCGGACCGCCTTGCGGCCGTGGAGACCTGAAGAAGGAGGAGGGTATACGGCTGAGCTGGTAGCGCCGCGGGGCATAGGCGGAGGCGTAATAGAGTGCCACGAGGGTCAGGGTGATGATGACAGGCCAGTAGCGCCGGAAGATGTTGCGCGCCAGAAGGTTGAGGGAGGGGCGGCCGCGGTGCGTGGGCTCAGAGATATTGAATGGAAGCATTAGCAGGGATTACCGCAGTGTGTGCTTCTGCTCATCGAAGCCCGTTTATGAAGGACGTCGGGAAGATGGCGCAGGAAATCCGGCACTGGCAGGGACCGAATCAGATTTTGCATCAAACGCGGTCCCGTGACGTATCGCTGTCACCAACCTGTTCGTGATTTGAAGGCCTGACATCTGGATTCTGCAGATACATCGTTCACACATCAATCTACAAATCTGGTGCGGCTGCAAGTTAAAAATCGATGTTCACCTCACTGGATGCATTTCGAGCGAAACCGTATGTTTCCCATAGAGGACATCAGATTCCCTCGGCGCGCAAAGACCACAGGCGTTGAGAAAGAGTTGATACCTGCAAGAGGTGTTGGGCAATTCGTGGTGGTTTTTTGGATGCACATAGAGTTTCAAACCGTCTATAGATCTGAGAGAGAGCCAGTACCGCGAAAACTTTAAGGTCGGGAAGTCATCAGCTTCTGTAATGCTTAATCGTCCATTCAACTTCCTCTCCTGGGACGCGCATTCGCGTGCAGTAGATTTGCCTTCTAGAATCTTGAAGCATGCCCTCAAACCCTACTGCCTATCCGCCATCTCTGAGAGAATTGCTGCCTCCAAATACGACTCACGTGACTGTGTGAGCGGATGCACAGCCCCGGAAACACGTGCTGGGGAGTCAAAGCGCGCGTCCACTTGTAGGTCGGATGATGGTACGGATTCCTCAAGCACACAGTAGACCAGAAGGCAGCAAAAAGGCATCCCAATCAAACATGATTCTCAAGCGAACTGCCTCAGTAGTAATCGGAACAACAGGGAGCCAGTGCGGAGGCTCATACGTGGAAGCAAGCTTGTGAGTCACAGATCTTCTTACCGGTGTATGGAAGGTACAGAACCACAAAGATGGCAGGGTCCATCGCGCGATAGACAGTTCCCAGCGACGACCAGTGTGATGGTCAAGATTTCTCATCTTTGTCTTGAGCAGGTCTAGACCTAGTCGCGCCTACGCCCGCACTAGAGAGAGTTTCGTGTATTGCAGATAGCAACGATACGACCAGGGAATAATAGCAAGCGGGGTAACAAAGATAGAGGATAACAAGAATCGAACCAGCACCCAAAAGACCGCAGCATGCTCATCAGGCCGGAGGTACGCAGGCGAAGCTGGTGATCTAGAAAGGCCCTTAGTGTTAGGTACGTACGGAGAGAGCGAGGAAGACGAAGACGCACCCGGTCGTTCCACGGGTTCGTGGTCGCGAGCCCGCCGGAGTCGTCGCCAGGGAATTGGAAGTCCCACTGCGCGTTCTTGACGTCGCAGTTGCCCGAATTGAAAGCTAGCCGTGGGGGTGAGCGAGGGTGACAACCCGCTGTGTTATGCTATGCAGACAGGCACGACGCACCGAAGCACGAAGCACCCGAGTCAGGGCCGAAGCTCGAGACGCCCTTCAGCCAAGGCGAAGCAAGCAGGATGCACTCGTTCAACGGCTGCACGGCGTACCTACGGCGAGGTCAGACTGCCAGACGATCAATCGCTCAATCACACACCCGCACTCGCCGCCCCACTGCGTGTTCAAGCAGATGAACACCCCTCCGGGCGTCTATAGCGCAACGGTCAGCACATCACGTCACACATCCAAGCGCCAGCACAGGCACAAGCGGACCACGCACGCCTTCCTTCTGCGACGCAGTCGCAAGCTGGGCCGCCGGCTTGACCACCGCGGCGTTTGCTTTCGGGCGGGGCGGGGCGGTGAACGCGCCGATAGACTTGCCAAACGCGCTCGCGGGCAGCACGGTCTGGTTCCAGCCCACGGAGAGCTTCCAGGCGTTGTCCTTGGCCAGCGCGGGCGCGCGCGGCAGCGTGATGGCAGCTGCGTCGGCGAGCGTGGATACGGCGGCGAAGAGGCACAGAAGCGAGCGGGCGGAGAACATCGATAAGGTCTTCATCGCAGATGCAGGGTAGGGATGATAGTAGCTAGTGAGTGAGTGGAGTGGGAAGAAAGGCGCTGGGCCGGAAGAATGAGAAGTAAGTAAGTACGTATGATAGATGGGCCGCTTCTCTCCCGCTCGTATGATATACTTTTCTTACACATGCCCGCTCACTCAAACATCTGACGAACGAGATGAAACCGGGGGCGTGTTGTGCCCAAGCCTGCCCAAGCCCAGCGATGAGATGTGGTGCCGGTGCCGTCACCAAGGCGACGTCCGCCGCGGTGACTGTCAATTTTGTTACTCCCGCCTCGATCCGCCCACCGCGCGTGCTCAATTAAATTGGATGGGTGGGTGGCGTAATAATCGATACGTGGGTGATTCATAGACCCGTAGGGACGTGCGGAGGTCGGAAGGAACCTGAAGCTGCGGAGATGATCAGGCGGGTGCAAACATGGGCGAAGATACTCCGTGACTTGCGCTCCCACGCCCAAGGCACGGGCGAGCCATAGTTACGGGCCGATGTCGGTACTCTGAGGTACATAGGGCAAAGTACGCCGCTGTCGACTAGGTACAGTGGCACACAAGTGGCACACAGTAAATGGACAGTAAGTCGGCACTCTTCCGCAAGGAGTTGTGCATTATCTGCACGGAAAAGAGAGAGTGGCTCTACGGCAGAATCAGGGTCTAGGCACTCAAGCATCAATGCGTGAAGGCTGTGCATCCATCAGTGATAACTGTATGTCTGCTTGACGCATCTACGACTACTTGCAGCAGCAAACCAGTCTTCGGCACAGATCTCGCGATGCAGTAGATCCAAAAACATATGCATTACAAACTCGACCCTCACAAGACCGTCTCTACACCGACCACTTAGTTGAACACCTGGACGCGGGGCTCGATCGGGCTGAAGCTCTTCTCCGAAGGCGGGGCCGCAACGACGCCGAAGGGCATGATCGCAGTCGACCGCCACGTCGTGGGCAGCCCGAACGCGGCCTGGATCTTCGCCGCGAGCGCGGGGTCCGCGCCGTTGTGCTGCAGGCTAGCGCCCAACCCTTCGAGCGCGAGTGCGACCCACACCCCATGCTGGAGCATGCCGGTCGAGTTGTCGCTCCAGTGCGGGAACTGCGACGCGTATCTAGGCGAGGGAGCGTGCGTCAGCACACGCATGGGTCAACCAGGTTGGATGGAATCGGCTTACGGTGGGACTTTGGCCGCGAAGCCCTCGACGACGGCCTGGTCCTCCCAGAACAAGATCGATCCGTATCCGCCACTCAGCCCGTCGATACGCTTGTTGACCCCGTCCTTCTGTTCTCCTGCGATCGATGAACATCACCACTAACGCCGCTGCCGTTGCGACACGCACCTTCTAGGCCCGCGACAGCGGCCTCGCGCACGAGCGCCCACAGCTTCTTGTTCTGCTCGCCGAGGACGATGGAGACGCGCCCCGACTGGGAGTTGAAGGCGGACGGGGTGTTGAGCACGAGCTGCTTGATGATCTCCTCGAGCTTCGCGTCGGGGATGGACGACTTCGCAGTCAGCGCGTAGTTGGTCCGGCGGAGGGCGATTGCGCTGAGGAATTCGGTAGACATTGGATAGATGAAGATTGGTTGGTTTGTTGGTTGTTTGGCTGGTTTGGATGCTGGTTAGCGGGGCTCGGTGAGGATCTGGACAGCCGTTCGTCGACCTTACTTATATGGAGGACAGGGTTCCAGGCGATGAGTAAAGGTTGGCACGATGACCAAATCGCGACTACGAATTCTGACAGCCCAATCGATGGTGTCGTGCTCGTGCAGTATCGGTTAAGCAACTCTGCCCGCGGAGCGCAGAGTTCCAGAGTCTTGTCAACCGAAGCGGTGACCCGGATGCTTCTTGCATGTCGATAGGCGGGAGCTCTATGCACCAATGCAGAGCAGATCCAAAGCGACTTGCACACGCGCACCCACGGGCTCCATTCAGTTGCACCTCGCGATAATAAATTCAAACTGATGGGGTCCAAGCAAGACTAGAGCGGGATTGACAATCGTTGCCTCTTTTGGAAATTAGGATGACGGAAAAGCGATGACATGACAGATTTGGAATCACTCTCAAACTGGAAATGACATACAGTACGACCTCATGATCGCGGAGGCGGTGGCGGGCATGTTTCGACATCGTTCGCATCAATGGCGCGTTTTTTGCTGTCCTTTATCATCTCAACTGCAAAACATTTCTACCGTAGTGAGAACATCAATGCCAACTTTTATGCGACCTAACGGTGTATAATCGATCACTCCTGTGACCTATCAATAGGGAAATCACGCTGTTCAATGCGCTGACTGAGTTGCCAATCGACAGGTCGGCCGTAAATATACATGGCCAACCAGTGAGGGTCGACACAAACAATGGAGTTGTCTTCAGGTAGTATTGCAAACTCCCATGGCTCGAACGGTGGGATATACTTACCGTCCAAAGTCTTTGGGCTCAAGCACTCTGGACCAATACGAAACATTTATCATAAGTTAGACGCGCCCCTTCCGACTCTACAGATCGCCAGTATCACATTTGACCATCTCACAAAGTCAACTCCACGCCGCTCAAATCGCCGAACTCCCACACCCTGCTAAACCGCAGCCCCGCCTGAGCGCCGAGCTGCACGTAGTCGTCGAGGGTGCGCTCCTTGCCATTGAGGAGGACCATGAGGCTGACGTCGAGGTAATACTGCCGGATGCGGCCTTGTCCGTAGTTCGGCAGAAGGGGTTCTGGGGCTCGCGTCAGCTCGTTGCCTTGCGTAGTGTTCGCACTGGATTTCGTGGAGCCTGTTTGGAGGATGTATTCGTCTGGACCGGCGTGAGGAGAGAGAGAGAGGGGAGAGTTGGAGGGTTGGGATGGACGCACGGATGAGAACACGGCTGCCGGGTTTCATGACTTTTTTGATCCCTTGGAGGATGATCAAGCAATGGGCTGTCGAGAACGCATGTAGGATGTTCTTCATCTGAAAAATCCCCTCAAGATCAATCCTCCAAGAGAGAAATCTTTCTGCACATCAAATCACTCACATAATACACATCGCAGCCCGGAACAGGCGGCTCGACCAGGAAATCAACCGCGCGGAACTCGACGCGCCCCTGCTCCAGCGCCTCGGGGCACTCGGCGGGCCAGACGACATCCCGCGCCTGCACCATCCGGTCGGGCAAATCCTGCAGCATGATGCGCAGCTTCGGATATGCCCGGGCGAGGAGGATCGACATCGCACCCACGCCTCCACCGAGATCGCACACCGTGGGGTTCGGGGCGCAGGCCAGCCAGGGGTATGCTGATTATATAGATGATCATTTGAACACAACGAAGAACGAATGAAGAGATTAGATTCGCGCACCGGAGACGACTGTCGCTGCCTCGACAGTGGTTCCCCATCCCAGCATGCCGATGCCGAATCTCTCGCCGTGGTCTTGCATGCCAGGTG